TCCCTGCACCATGCCGCCGCCGCCGCCCGCGTGCCCAGCCGGGCCGCCGCCGCCTCCGGCGGAAACGGGTCGTGGGCGCCCAACACGTCCCTGTTCGTGCCGCTGAAGCTCAGCCCCGAGGGCTCCGGGGTCGGCGGCGACGTGGGCGCAGAGCTCACGCGCTCGCTTGACAAGAGTAAGTATCTCCGCGGGGGGATGGGGCAGCCCCCGCGCGGAGAAGGCGGGGAATCAAGCGCGGAGCAGAGCTTGGGCTCTTGCGTGGGCTGGGTTTCACCTCGCAATTTGAAAGCAACGTGCAGTGTTCCCATGGCAGTCAGTTCTTGCCTGCTCTCCCCGTGGCCCTTCCACTGGGAGCCGCTCCACTATGTTCCCAGGTGCTTGTTACCCGCAGACCAGCGATGCTCAAGCTTTTGACTTTGCTGCCCCAACCCCTGCTCTGGTCCTGACCTCATTTAGGATGGAGCAGGGTCACAGCCCCAGTCCCATCTGTGGTGGATTAGGGCTGTCACTGATCCTGGCTTTGGCCTTGCATGGGTCCTGCTATCGCAGCCCTGGATATGCTACCCCAGGCTATTCCTGGCCCCAGCTCTGACTGACCCCAGGCTCACTGAATTGGACCCATGGCCTCAGCCCCAACCGTACTTGTGCCAGATCAGGCCTGCAACTCTACCCGCAGCCCCCACCCTGTACCTGAGGCCGCATCTTCTGGGTCATGGGGCTTGGAAATCCCCAAGACCCATGGACCGGATGATACAGCTCTGCAGGCCAGATCAGGCATGTGGGCTGGGGCTTGAGTACCCCTGTTTTAGGCTCATCTTTGGACATATGGTGTCTTGGACAAATTTCTTACCTCTGTGAAGCTCCCAGCACAGTTCATTCAGCTTCTGAGACTCTAGGCTCCTCTGGCCCCTGGTTTAGGCTTATATGGTTCCTTCATCCTCCCCCTTATGGTCATCTTATCCATCACTGTTAGCAGGGTGCTGCTAACTCCTGATCAGCAGTTCAGCGTCCTGCTGTGTCTGCAAGCTGGATCCTGTAATCCATTTAACTGAGCTGCTCACACCTGCTCCCATAAGGGGGAATAGGTTAAATTCTGTTTACCTCTTACCTGAAACAGTTATGTTAAGCTATAGATAATGCTCTCTGACTTATGAGTATCAGTATCTTACAGAGAAGTGCCCTGGCTTTTTTTTTAAGACGGTGGTTCTCAACCTTTTTTGTACTAGGACCCATTTGTAAACAACAATAGCCAGTCCCGACCCAGTGTCCCTCATTCCTGACCTGCTGCCCCCCACCCCCAGACTGTAGCCCCTGCAGTGTGTGAGGCATGGGGGGGCCTCAAGCAGCCCCTTGTAGGATGGACCTCAGCCAGCCTGCAAGGAAAAAAACAGTTTCCCATGTTTTGTTCCTTTAAAGGAGAATCTGTTTTTAAAGTTTGATCCATTTTTAAAGTTTATTCATGACCCTTTCATATATTCTTGCAACCCACAGGTTGAGAAACACTGCTCTAAGGCACTAGAATAATGTTTTTTAACTGAGGTGCTGCAGCATGGGTACCACCACTTCTGCTGTTGGGGCCAGGTGAAATGGCATCCACAGAACCAGATTAGAAACTGGATGCAGCAGGAGTGCCCCTTTTTGCTACAGCCCTTCCTGCTCTAACTTCAGAAGTGTTTTCTGGAAACAGAAGCATGTGGGGCATTTGCAGCTGTCCTACCCACCTCTGTTTCTGGGAAGAGCATGTTGGATTGGACTGGGAAGGGCTATGGCAAGAGTACGCACTCTGCTGGTTATTTTTGCTTTGCAGGTACAGTTGCACCTGGCTGGGGTGGTGACAGCACCCTGATTGAAAGCCACTGACCTTAGGACAGGAGAGTTCACAGATATGCCAACAGAGCTCGTGGTATTTTAATGCTTGTATAAAAAAAATGAAATAAGATTGGTGTTCATTACAACAAGCCTTGTTCCCGCTCAGACACAGTCTGCCACTTGAAAGTGTTCACAACTGCTTACTTTCTATAAATCCAAGAGATGAAAAATGTGTTACATAAATTAAGTCAAACTGACATGGTTTGTCTTAACTTATTTAAGTATTTTACCTTTATTCCACTCTACTCCATTCATGTCAACAGGAGCCTCTGAAAGACAAAATGTAGAATAGCACTTTAATTTATTTTACACTCCAGGCTTCATTCCTAACTCAGTTAAAGTAATATAAACAGAGGAGTAATTCCACTGCAGTGAACTGAGAATTTCTTGTGTAAGTGACAC